GGCGTTCTGAAGCCTCCCGCTCGCAGCTCAGAGGCACGTCAGTCTGTGGATATTGCACTACTGCCCTCTGCCCCTGAGCCCCCGGGGCTGGCACAAGGAGACGGGGGGCTCAGGAGCTGCTTGTTCCCCAGCCTGTCATGGAAGGATGCCACATAGCGATGGAAAGGGGAGAGCCTTGGAAGGACTTCTGACAGATTACTTGGTAACTACGTGGATACATCTAAGGGCAGCAGCCTGCAGGACCCCCAGCCTGCACTCGGAGAGCAGCACACTGCACAGCTTTTAGCATCCCCAGGGTGGAAGTTTGGGTCCCACACTTGGGGGGGTCCCATAATTCACACAGATCCTTTCCCAGGTCATTGATTCGCAGTTTCCCACCAGCCCCTTACCTTCTGGGAGCTCAGTGAACCAGTCCTGAGTGCTGCTGTGGGGACAGATGGAAGGGGACTGAGCCCCAGGAGGGACTCCCCCCCGCTCTCCTGTATGACAAATCCTACGGACAGCTGAAGGTTGTAATGAGAACAAAGAGATTTTGACCCTCTCTCAAGGGAAACTTGCAAAGCACACAGACTTGGCTCCCTCTTGGCTAAAGGGTTTCACTTCTCTGAGAGGAGGATGAAATTGCTGGAGTTCACGAGGTGTTCAGCCGGCAGAAGGACGAGCCTAACCCGAGTGCTGCCAAGTGACACCAACTCTTGGCCAAAGCCTGCAGCCCACGAAGAGCAAACTGTCCGTGTCTCAGACACCCCAAGCAGCCATTCCCAACAGCAGCCGAGTCACCCAGCCTCTTGTCCCACAGAGTCTGTGCACACAGTGCTGCCCACATTCCAGCCTCCAGCACCCATCCACGTGCGCACCTCCCCGGCTGCCCTGAGGTACGGAAGAGATGCGTGAACCCAACGTTTGGTAGCCCCCAAAACTCAGCCAGATATGGAACTTGAGTCAGATACACCTGCGAGGTCCCAAGCAGCTCCAGTGGGATGCAGGGTCTGGGCAGAGCGGGGAATGTCCCTCCATGAAGCAGCCCAGTCCTCATCTGTCCATGTCTGCCAGCGGCCACTACGACAAGATGTGGGCTCTGAGCACGGAGAAATGGTGACAGCAGCAGGTGACAGCAGCAGGTGACAGCAGCAGGTGAAGGCAGAAGCCACTGTGACGTCCGGAGAGCCGAGGTGAGCGCATCGGCACTGCCAAGAATCGCTTGCTTCCCCCACTCGGTGTTAGGGATCAAGAGGAGTCACTAGCAATGTTTGGATCCAAGTGAATTGGCATGGCTACTACTGTAACATAGGAGCAATTCTACTCAGTGGCCTTTAATACGTCGCATGTACATAGCACCTTTCATCCCAGGGTGTAAGTGCTCGAACGAAGCGGGAACTGCACACCCACAGCACGGGGGAACCGAGGCACAGAGTGGTCGGGTGACTCGCCTTCGGTCACTCAGCAAAACTGCAGCAGTCTGCCTGGCCTTAAACCTCCTGACTCCATCAGCAGGCCAGGCCACGCTGCTGCTACCTCCAGCGAAGCCACTCCGCTCCCTGCCCTCCCCAGCACTGTGCTCCTACCAATCCTCCAGTGAGGTCTCACGCTCCTTTCTGATGCACAGATAGAAGACAACCAAAAAAAAAACAAAAACAAAAACAAAAACCCAAACCAACCAAACCAACAAACAGAGCCCAACCGACCAAAAAAAAAAAGAAAAGAAAAAAAGTGCAGTAAACTAAATGTTTAAAAAAGCACATTTGTGCTGTCTGTGTGCAAAGATAAAAGAAATAAATATATGATTAAAAAATTAAAAAGGTTCACAGTATTACACATGGATAGGTAGCTACGGTAGTGCACGTCTGGAAAACACGGTGTTACTACCCAGGGTTCTCTACCCCCAGCTGGATGCCTCCTTGGGAGCTGTGGGTGGGTGGGTGGTTTCTTTGCTGCCCACGTCTGGGAGAAGCAGAACAGACGGTTACAGTTTTGCTCCGCTCTGAAGCGCTGCCCGGGATCCCGCGGGGCAGCAGAACTGGTGTCAGCAAAGCTCTTCCCCATCCCGCTGGAACGGCTGCATCAACGAAAAGGGAACACGTGGACCTGCAGAGGGAATCGCTGCTCTCTGGGGCTTCTGTGTCTGCATAGAGATTACTGCAAGAGGCAGAGAAAAGAGAGTCAACAGCCGAGCATCTGCTCCGCGTTGGGTTTGGTGCGAGCCCACCAAATCCCCACAGCCAAAAGGGGGGTGAGGAGGGCAGCCTGCTCGCTTCGCAACCCCCAGCACCGCCGCCGCGCCTGGAGAACCTGCAGACCCCAAACTTGCCCTACGCTCAACCCCTGTCGAGCCGAATGGGTTCTGTGCCGGCACAGCAGAGCTCTCCTGCTGCCAGAGCTGCGCCGAGGCTCCGCTGCAGCCATGCAAGAGCCCCAAGCTGCACGGAGGCCGCAGCAGCTCCTTCTGCAAGCTCAGCCTGCAGGGAGCCCACGCTCCGACCGTGACACAGCAGGCACCCGGCACGTGTTTCTCGTACACTTACTGTATCGCTCTCCTCATCGGAGACAGAGTGGAGCTGAGCGCTATAGTGGAGCGGGGAGTAAACCCAACTCCTCTCGTCTGTCGGCTGCCAGAGTGGCCAGAGACGGCGGGGAGAATGCAAGGAGAGCAGCAGCAGAGCAGGGAGCAAAGGAGAGAAGAGGAAAAAATAAAAGGAGAAAATAAAAGAGTAGGAAACAGTACAGTAAGAACAGCTCTCTGCCCGGAGGAGAGACTGGGCTCAGTGCTGGGGCTCCATGCTGGTACCTACCTGCTCCCTGCCACCAGCAGCTGGCACTGCACCCTGCGCCAGGGAGGAGGGCACAACCTCCCCCACCGCAGGACAGATGCGAGGGCTTTGCGGGTGCCAGGGAATTCTCAGCTCCCTGCCACAGCATCAACCCGGAGAAACCAGGAGACGTGGGAAGCGACTTACCAAGGGGCAGTGATGGAGCTCTTCATTCCTGCTACCCACTCCCAGCTCCCAACCCCGCTTCCTGAGCCTCTGCTGTGCTACAAGCTGGCACCTCGGAGGGCTTTTTACAGTGGAACTTGACCTGGTTTGCCGTGCCTTCCCCCTTCCCTGCAGGCCAAGTGAGGCAGCAGGTGGCTGGGTTGGATCGTGGTGGATGGTGGCCACAGAAAGGAACCAGTCAGTTTTCACTGACAGCCTTGGAGACAGTGGTGGTGATGAGAATGGGTACAACACAGAAGGCAAAATACAATCGGATCTTGGAAAAAAAATAAGGGAATGGGGATGTGCATCAAGGGAGCTGCTTATCACAGCACTGGGCATCAGTGGGACAATCACACTTCTGCCTCCAACTCAGCAGAGAAGCCCAGATAGTCTCTATGGCCACAGGTTCCTAAGGGAGAAACTTCTATTGCAAAGTGGCTCAACTGGTTCCAGAGGTGTCCCTGTGCCTGAGGGAGGAAAACTGCCCCCTTTGGCCCAGCCCAGGCTTACAGAGGAACAAAAATGGAATGGGATGCTTGGAAGAAGCCTGGGGGGCTCCCAGTCTGGGAACCATCTACAATGTGCAAGGTACTACAAGAAGCTGGAGGAGCTTTGAAGAGCTTTGAAGCACTGGGCTCTGCATGCTGAACCCCACTAATAATTGCAGCTGCGTGAGCAGAGACCGCTGGGAGGAAGGAAGGAAGAGAAAACCTTGCCTGGAGCTTTTTGCAGGGCTCTGCTGGAGGCACAGCAACGCTCAGGACAGCACAAAGCCTGCTGCACATCCTGTTTTTCACCCAACCCAACTGAACTACATGCTCCAGCCAGCCTCTTTGAGAGCCTTTTGGGAGCCCAGACACATGCAGGGAGCTGCAAACCCAGCGGGGAGATTAAAAAACAAGGAGCATCCAGTGCTCAGCATTAACCCTGCCAGTGCTGGGGCTGCCTCTCCTCATCCTAGCAGCCAAGCTCAGGAGCACGCTCCTGCCCCTGCTTCCCCATGCACCCTGCCTGATGCCTCCTCTGCTCCCCAGCCTGGCTCCAAGGCAGGCACTGCTCAGAACATGCTGAACAAATGCTTGTGCCAAGGCTCTGACAGTGCTGCCATCACCCTCTGAGGAAGACAGCAGCCCTCCCAAAACCCAGCCAAGGGGAATACCAAAACCCAGAGCTCTGGGTGCAGCCCCTCAACGCTGAGCTGCCTCCCTGCATCTTTTGGAGGTGAAACTCTCACTGCTCACTGAAGACCCGTGGTGAGGAGGGAGCCCGTGGGTGATAACAAGGGCTGGAGAGCAGAAACCATCCATAATCCATCAGTAACTCTCAACTCCTTCAGTTTTAGAAGCTGCCACCAGAAAGAGGACTGGCCACAGGTCTAAAAGGCCCAAAACTGGCTTAACAGTAGTTTCAAAACATCTTGGTAGACTCTCTGGAACCCAGTTTGGTTTCCTGAGCCAAGGGGGCCGTGCCTCACATCACCTATAAATGCTCAAGTGCCTCCACCTTTATGGATCTGCTCCCTGCAGGTTTGTCCAATTCTGGGCGATACCAAACTAGAAGCTGTGCCCTCAGCCTGCAGAAAAGTAGGGCTGAGTGAGATCCCGTGACAGATTGACTGGGGCAGCTTTGACCTGCGTTCCCTGTTTCTCCTGGGCTGACTCCCAGTGGTCACAGAGGACAGAACCATGGCATCCCTGGGCAATGGAGCTGCTGACCCCAGTGTTTCAAAGCTGCAGCTCTGCTACGTGCTTGCGTGGTCACTTACAGTCCTGGAGGAAAGCGAGGTGGTTCGGAGTCTGCGCTGACGGGGAGAGTAAATCCAGTACCTGCCATCTGTGAACTGCTTGGCCCCGGGGTAAGTGAGGTGAGAAAGGAAACAGAGGGGAAAACAAACAAACAAACAAAACAACAGAAAGATGACGTGAAAGACAGAATGGAAGAGAAAGCAAAAAAAAAAACCCAAGGGGTTGGACAACTCCAGGCCTGAATGGATCAGCAGGCAGGAAAGCCATGCGTGGAAGTAGCGGTGCCCGTGCCTGACAAATGTCTGCACCTTTATTCCCCTGAGAGTGAGCAGGGGGATAAAGTGCTCTTCTTTTGGAAGCTGAATTCAACAAGCAGACCGTGGGCCCCTAGGACTTGACAAATCATCCTCTGCACGTAGCATCCTTCCACCCATCATCGCTCCTGGAGCGTGCTTGCAGGGGCAGCTGGGGTCCAAGCCTTGCTGCATTTGGGTGCAGCCTTGGTTGAGCTTCAGCTCCAGTGGTTTTCCAACAAAAAAACAAACAGAAAAGCCACCACTGCCAGGGGAAACCCAGATCAGTTTTTCCCTTCATCCCAGCAGTGACAAACACTCCACAGCACACAACACACATTTAATGCAAAACTCAAGGACTCAGACGAAGCATGAGATGCTGATGAGTCAGTCGGGCTCTGTGTGAGCACACACTGCACACAAATGGTTTCTTCTAGATAGAGAAGAGCCCCGTGGAAGTTGAGGGGAGTCCACGTGCCCATGGACAGGGAGGAAGGGAGCTGCCCCTTGCTAGGAGACGTTTGCCAGTGGAACAGGCAGTATCTGCAGGCAGCCTGCACACAGCTGCCATCCACAGGCAAAGAAAGAGCAGCCAGTGTTAGAGGGAGCTGTTTGCATTTGGAACAGCATGCACGAAAACCCAGACAGACAAGCTTGTAAAACCAATTCCTCCTGCAGCTCCCACGAGCCTTCAAATGACTCGGCAACGAGTGAGCAGCTCTGCAGCAGAGCCACATGAGCAGAGGGAGAGCCAAATGCTGCCATTTTCAGGGTAGCCTGAAGGAGCTCACAGGGCACAGCTCAACTCCATTGCCATGCAAGTTGGAGCAGAGCACCCCTTTTAATGGAAAGGTTCCTGTGCCACGGGTCAGACCCTCAGCTCCACTCTGGGAATCCACAGAGCAGGCACACGTTCCTAAAAACTCCACTCCGTTCTGCAGAAGCTGCTCAGACGTTGTGGAAGCTGGCTGAGGAACACAGCCCCAGGCTCCACGGCACTCTGCTGCCAACAGCAACCACCTCACTTACTCCCTGTCTCAGTACTAGACTTCCACTGCACCACCTAATGCATCTGCCTGCAGGGAGAGGAAAAGCCAGAGTTCACAAGAGCCCCAGGTCAGCCCCACCACAACCACCTCCGCTCCACTACGGTGTGCCTGTGCTCAGGGCCCTGGCTGGGGGGTCTCTGCAGCACCCACGTTCACCTTGGCTTGTCCCAGGAGAGAACACACTGGCCTAGATAAGCCCTTCAGCACCAGTCCTTCCAAATAGAGCAGCACACCCACGGCTGCATCCACAGCAGCGGCACCACGTGCTTCAGCCCCACGAGGTGCCGTTCTGGGTTCTCCAAGGGTTACTTCCATTCCCTGCGTTCAAACCCTGCCCAGCACTGAGATAAAGGTGCTCAGCACAGAGTAGGGCAGACGCTGCCCCACGCACCCCCGTGCCTGAAACAGATTACAGCCTCATCCACACAACCCTGCTCCATCCCTAAGGGGCCAGGCAGAGGTATCTTACAAAGTATATGTCTGTGACTGGCACGTCATCTTCATCCGAGGCCTGGCTGGCTGGTTCGGAGGCCTGGCTGGCCGTCTCCACCTCTATTGTGGCTGTGGACATTACAATGGCACAGGCTGAAGAAGCTGCTTCTCTGAAAGGGGGAAAAAACAACAGCGTCTGGTCAGTGGGGACAGAAAGAGGGGGCAAGCAAGACTGGGTTATTAATCACAGAGGAACTGCAGAGGATGCTCTGCATCAACACCCAGAAAGATCAGGTCTGGGAAGGGACCCATCTCCCCAGGAAGCCCTACAAAATCAGCATGAGCTGCCATAGACAAAAAAAGGTGCCGGGCAGAGCTCTGTGCTCCCACACACTCACTCCTTGTCATCTTCTTCGGGAGCTACAATCTCAACATCACATTTCGGCTCCAGCTCTACACTGATCTGCTGAAGCTCCTCTTCAACTCGCACCTCCTCGTGCGACCTGGGAACAGAAGAAACACGGGAAGGTTTAGCCAGATCTCCCCCAGGACTGAGGTTTTGGGTAAGCAAAATTCCCCAGCAGAAGGATCAGTCCCATCAGATTTTGTTTTTGGCACTGCGGAGTTGGGGGGAAAAAAAGGACAAGGAGAAAGGGATTCATCAGCCTGTGCTGCAGAAAGGATGGGCGATGTCAACCTGAATGCAGGAGGGAAAAGGCCAATTGGCCTCCGGGGAAAACACGTGCCCAGCTCTATCCCAGTGTTATCCATCAACACGTCCTCCCAAGAGCCAAAGCCTCCAACCTCTGCTGCAGCCCTGGTGCACTGAGGTTCACTCCAGGGTTAACATCCTATTTATCTGCGAGTCAGGAGCTGTTTGTGACAGTCTTCAATTTAATACCTCTCGCTGTTAAAGTAATTGCTTGTGTTAGCAGGGCTGGTTCTACAGTCCTCCTGGGAAGGAGGAGCTGGCATTTGCCCAGCCAAGGGCACAGCCTCCACGTCTCCAAGTGGTTCTGGCCAGCTCTGCTCTGTCCCTGGCTGGCTCTGCTCTGTCCCAGAGCTGGAACCAGCAGGCAGCACCGCTCCCATCCAGCTGCTGGAGGGATGCATTTCCTACACCCAGAGGGAGTTTTCCAGCAGATCTGGGTAGTCAGAGGTCTGCCGCGTTTCAAGCTCGAGCAAACTGGTGAAGGGCTTTTTCATTTCAGCTGAAAGGATACAGACACCAGCACCAGAAATACAGAAACGAGGCAAGAAAAATAAGCAGAGGGTCCCACTGAGATGGGGTGGCTGCAGCTGTGGCAGGTCTGTGACAGACATCCGCCAGGTCACTCAGCTCCCTGCACTGCTGCTTCTAGGACACGGCTCACCTGACCTATTTTCAGATGAGCAGTCACATCCTACAGTGAGGGTGCCTGGAGCAATTCAGGTGAAGTCTCTGCACTTTGCCAAGTGGGTCCTGACACAGGTACTCGAGTTTAATTTCCATTAATCTCTAATTTTCAGCAGTTTCAGAGAGTGGATTTGGCAGGAGGAGAGGAGCTTCACAGCTCCCCTGCCGCTTCTGCGGGTGCTGCAAACCAACAGCAAGTTGCCTCTTGCACTTCCATTGACAGGAATGTACCAAGACTCATGAAGAAATACCCTGGAAAAGGACCGTTTCAGTCTGTGTGGTCTGAAGCTCAACAATCAGTAAAAGGAACAGGGGGAGATGCCTGGGAGGTGGTGGAAACTCCCGTCTCCCAGTGTCCTTTTCCTTCCCCTGAAGCACAAACTCTGACGGCAGGGACAGAGGAGGGGTTGATTCTGAGATGCCTCTCAAAGCTTGTAACTACAACACTTACAAGATGTACCAAAAACTAGGGCAGAACCAGCAGAAAGCCAGGTCCTCATTCGGGTCCTGCTGACACAGGCAGCAGGGTTATTTTTACTGGTGCAAAAGTATGCGAGATAATTACAAGATAAGAGCTTCTAAATCTGGACACTCTTATGCAGAAGGGATTTTTGTCCCACCTTGCCCTTGGCTCTGAGCCACCTATTGCCACAGGCAGGAAAAACAACTCCCAAGTTTCTGAGAACACTAAGCAGCATGCAAGCTGCTTCTCTGGGGGTCTGAGCGTGCTCACAGTGCCAGAGCCTCTCCCATACACGTGTCCACTGTGTCCACATAGATGCACAGGGGAGGAACTTTCCAACTTTTAAGGCTTGCTTATCCAGAGGGGGACGTAAGGGACAATTCTGCTTATCTCTAGAGCTAGTTGAGCAGCCACATTTGGACGACACATCCAAATCCAGTTGTCCTCCTTCCCTTCAAATAACGGGAGTAATATTAATGATTCCTTGCAGTGCACTGGGAGATGTGCTTGTAATGAAAATTGCAACCAAGGGGCTTCATTTGATGCAGGAAGAATCTCATCATCTTGCAGAGAACCACCTCAAAACCTTGGGGCTGCTAAGCCACAACATTCAGGCCTCCAAGAAAAGAAGCCCTTGCACAGGTGAGGTGGGACAAACGTGAGGATGAGGCCCATTTCTCACCTGCCATCCTGCCCTGAGGAGTGCGTGCGTCTCCTGCAGAAAGAAACCGGGAGAGCAGAGTTAGAGGGGGGAATTTAAGGCAGAAATCCTACGCTGCACCCAAATCGAACTCCCCACCCCGTGAGGAAGATGTTCTACTTAACAGCTGACACTTCTCCCAGCAATAATTAATCCCATCAAAGCTGTGTCTGCTTGCTCCCGGGAGAGATTTAATTAAAATCAGTCGTTAGCATTGCAGAGCTCAGGGCGGGCTGCTGAGAGCTGTGGCACAAAGAGGAGCAGCAGCAGGGCTGGGCTCTGCGCTCACCTGTACCGGGGCTGCTCCGATGTCTCTGAAGGAGATCTCTCAGGAACAGAGAGAGATGTTGAAGAGAGCGTTGTGGCTATGGAGGCCGTGGTGGCTTCCTCAAAGGAAGGAGGCGTGCAGGGGAGCAGGTCTGGTCTGCCTGCAGCCCGAAGCGCAGGGCAGGAGAGATGGAGGGAGAAAGATAAGCAGGTCAAACATCAGCTCCTTATCTGCTGCAGCCCCGTGTGAGGCCGTTCCCCCATGTGAATGCACAAACAGGCGAGAAGTTGAGCTGAGTTCACGAAAACAACAGCTTATCCCAAAGCATCCTCTAGAGAGAGCCAGTAAGCACCATTTCCAGCACAGACAGACACGATTGGAGAAGTAATGCCAAGGAAGACATCTCACTGGTAACCAAAGCTGGATTAAAGGCTTGGCTTGACAGAGATAAATATCCAAGTGAATTAAGAGATGAATCGAGTGCTCGCTGTGTTGCACGGGTAGCAATCTAACACCTACCACTCAAGAAGCCTGCCTTTCACCACCCATCTGTAAACCCAGCCCAGATGGAAGCGATGCAAAGGCAAAGAACCAGAGCAGTTCATCTTTTTTCTCCCAATGGCAAGATCTTCCCCCTTACACCCATTCAAACATCAGAAATGTGCAGTTCTCAGTCCCGTTTTTCCTACAGGTGGAAAACCCAACCTTCTGATTGCATTTGGGCTGTGACTGCTGGTGCCAGTTGGCAGAGACTGCCTTGCAGCAGTGACGCAAGCAACCTTCTTTACTGCAGAACCATACAGTGCTGCAAGGAAGGGATTTGGTTGGGATGCAGAGGCGTTGCTTCCCGATCCACCAACTGCTAGCACTGCAACAGAGCAATATACTCTTACCTTCCCCCTGTCCTGGTTAAGTTTAGCACCTGCAAAGCGCTGCAAGACAGGGAACGAAGAGCTACCCAACAAGAAAGGCATGTTTGGTGCAGAACGAGGAGCTCAGCAAGAAAAGGGAGCACTGCTAGGAAATAGAGGGCGACCAGACAGCCATCAGACACCAGGCAGCCGTTACCTTCGTCATCAAGGGTGGGATAGCTCCTGGCTGCACGGAGGTCGTACTGCGTTTCGTCCTTCTCAGAGGGGAGCTGGCTAGCTGAGAACGCAGCTGTTGGACCAGAAGTCTTGACAGCCAGCAAGGCACTACGCCCTTTCTTTGAGGGAGATGACTTCAGAGCTGGAGGAGAAGAGTGAAAGAGAAGAGGGAATTACCACCAACAAAAGTCACACCAAAGGAACCTTTCCCTTCATAGACAGAGATGGCCCTGCCTGCTTCACACTGCCTGGAGAGCTCCAGGACAGGAGCTTGGCCACAGAAAGCCACGGCAACCCCAGGGCTCTGCAGCTTTGTGTCACTGCTCAGAATCCTGCCCAGCAATACTCTGCGTGGACACCAGCAGCGAGATGGGGACAAGGCTGCATCTCAGGCACGCTCTGTACTTACAGGAGTTCTTTCGGAACACCGTGTTGGTCATGAATTTGAAGAATCTCTCTGCATAGAAGCTGGGTCTGTGTACTGACACCGTGTCCTACAAAGGCAAGAAACCATTGTTTCATTTTAAAATCACTCAAGGCAGAATTTCTGAAGCAGCCAATGCAATCTTTTCTGTTCCAGCGTTTAGCACCGATAGATCCTTAAAATGGAAAGGCTGAGCTGAAATGATCTGATTAATGCTATAAATAAGCCTGAAGCACCGCCTTTGATTTGATTGCATTTGATTACGCTCCTGCTGTAATTTTATAATGGATTTTGGTGCTTTTATTCCTTTATAGGCTTTTTGTATTTTTCAAACACAGACTTGATTACACGTGTGAAACTTCTTCTGGTTTTGCTGGCTGACATTTAAAGCACTCCTGGCTGCAGCTGCACATCACACGGACACCAGCATTCAGCCAAGGGTCCCCACGCTCTTCAAACGTTTCGTACTTTCTGTTTTAATGGAGCTGGTGCTTCTGCTTCTGATGTCACTGTGCTGCTATGACTTCGCACCTCCACCTCTCCTCTGCATTACTTTTTTAAGGGAAGACTGGATATGCAGTGCTGACAAATAGTTCCTGTATCTAGAGGACGGTCTTTTGTAAACACACACCTGGCTGCTGCTGGAGATGAGAGAGCAGGGAAACACTGCAAGGGATTTATTAGCAGACAGCTTGCAGCAGAGGAACCACAGTCAATCACCAGAGCCAAGGCAATGTTCCCCAACACACACACGAACGCACAAGCCTTGCACATACAGCTCCTGGTAACACAGGGAGGAGGAAAATGACAGATGGGAGCAGAGGAGGAGAGCTGGTAGCATGACAGCTAAGCGTGTGAGGAGGTGGAGTGTGCAAGAAAACCTGATTGGGAATAAGTTGTACTACACCGGTGTGGAGGCATAAGAGGCAAGAACTATTCCTTCATCAGCTTCAGCTGTACCACTTTAGGGACTATAAATAGCGAGGAAATTGGCACCAAGTAGCACAAGCCAAAGCAGGTAACCTGCTGAAGGCACCCCCTGCACTCACCCCGTCATGGACAAGGGCCTTCCAGGTATGTTCCAGCTTCTTGATGAACCTAATTGCGGGGAAGAAGCAGAGAGAAAAGGAAGATCCAGTTCCAGTCATGTACTCTGTGTCAGAGCCACCTTCCATCACCCGCACAGGAGTGCTCACTGAGCTGCTGATCCCTGCTCTGTGGAGCATAGCTTTGCTCCAGCCAAGAGGTCAGCAGAGCACACCAACAGCTGGGCCAGGGCTGCCTGGGAACCCTCCAGGGAAGGAGGAGCAGGGCTGCAAGATCTGCAGCAAATCACCCTCCCTCCCTGAGTACGTGCTGCCCATCCCAGGCACAGTGATGGGGAATTTCTTTAAGAACAGCTCATTAGACCTCAGGCAAACAGCTCGCTGTCACCAGCTGTTCTAAGGACAAGATAAAAATCCAGCGCTCCCAACACACATCAGACAGCTTTAGGCAGCCTGCCTACACACCATCAAAGGCTTCAGGAGAGGAAAATCTTCTTGCTTTCGTTCAGTATTAAAATAGGTGGAGCACACTTAGAGGACAGGTGACTGCAGAGGCACCTACCTGTACGACTGAAGGATATCTATGATTCCTACGTGGAGCAGGAGACGCTCTCCTTTGCCATTCACTGCTGGGATTCCTCCCATCCTGCAGGTGAAACAAGGCCACAGTGACTTCAAAAGAGCTGTTAGGCCCCAGGACTGAGGAAGGGAGGTGACAGCACTGGAAGGAGGGCTCTGATGTGGTGGTCAGACAGCACAAAACCTAGCAGCAGCCACCTGCCCAGCCAGCCTATCTCACACAGGGGCTTTCTGCCTGGATCACCAAATGTGAGACGTCAGGACAGCACCTGTGTTGTATGACAACAGTTCCATTGGGGCTGGAGAGCACCATATGGATTTTTTCTTAGCTAAGGAATATTTTATTCTGAGGACCGGATCAGTTTCAAATTAGCAGGAGCTGCCTACAAAGGGCAGCAGAGCAGTAAGGACAAAGCTATTCCTTAATATCAGCCGACGGCGCAGCAGCACCAACACACAACAGAAGCATGCAAGCATAAGGCAGGCCACTACAATTAGGGATGCTTTTTGAAAGAATGGAAACACCACACTATTTCCTGGCTCCACTGTGACTGATCCTCCTCTGAAACCAGAACGGCTGGTTCCACGGAGTGTGGCTGCCAGCAGCAAGCACAGCAAAGTGCAGCATTGGGTAGCAAAGTCCACAGGCCCAGCAGGACAGCCAGGAGGAACCCCCAGCCCCCAGGGACCGCAGATGGGGCAGACCCTGATGCACAGCTCCATCAGTTACACAGCTGATCGTGCTGGGGTGGCTTCACACAGCAGCGCCGCAACCCAGCAGAGCTGTAAGCAGCCCTCAGTTTGAGAATTACTCTGGCCCCCCCCCCCCCCCCAGCAGGAGGAGCCCAGGTTTCCACCTACGTGTCATCTGTGTCTATGGACTCCCCCCGGGCAGCCCCACCCTGGATGGACTCCATGGCTGTGGAGTAAAGTGCCTTTTGCCCCACGGGACGCTTCTCATCCGACGTGCTGTGCGCTCCCTCAGACTGCCGCTCCCGTTCTTGCTGGTCTATGTTATGGACACCAAGCAGCAGGCTGTAGTCCATGATTTTAAAGCTTTCCAACACCTGCAAGTTAGTACAGAATTCAAGAGTAAAGACAAAAAGGCACAGGTCAGCAGTCCAAACAAAGCAAGATCCCAAAACACGGGACAGCCCATCCGTATTCGTGCTAACAACTGCTTTGCCAGAGCTTGAATGTTTCTGACTAGTAAACATCTCTGGATTCTGCAGAATTTGGCCATCCCACAACTCAAAGGGCTGAAGGCTCACGAGTAGCACGTTACCTGTAAGAAGAACCCTGGTGCTTCTCCCTGGGTGCCTCATCCCTGAGGTGCTCAAGGCCATGGATGGGGCTCTGTGCAGCCTGAGCTAGCTGGGGGCAGCCAGCCCAGACAGGGTTGGGGCTGGATAGGCTTTAAGGTGCCATCCAACCAGCCACTCTGTGACTCTATGGTAAATGCCTGTTGCACATTGCATAGGAGAATGCATTTAGTCCCAAGGGCCCGGCTACAACTGGAAGACTGCCACAGTTTGAAGCCGAGGTGAAAGGACGTCTCACTCCTCTGAGACTGCCACGAGGTTCAACTCCACTGCTTTGCCTTCACCATAAAGAGCAGCAGAGGGACTTCTCCTGCTTGGGGGTTAGCAGATCAGCAATACCCTCAGTCGTTCAGTCTTCCCCACACCCGAAGCTCTGTTATCCCAGTCCCTGAATCATCCCCTCCTTACCAAACAGTCTCGCTGCAACGTCTTCACCAATGCACTGAAGGTGTCTGCATCCAACATCAGGCCCTCAGGCATGTCCTGGATGAAGTCCAGGTCTTTGTACGTGGGGCTGGACTTCTCTTTCTCCTTCTTGGATGCCCGGCGTTTATAGGTTGAGCCTTTCAGGTCAAACTTCAGGTGCATCTTCACCACGCGAGGCAGAATGTTGTTCATCACCACCACGCGGATGTTTTTGCCCCCCGATTGCACACAGTACAGTCCATAAAACTTTGGCAGCAGCGTCCGTGGGTTCTGGTTCAGGTTCTGCAGCAGGGTTGGAAAAAGCATCAGGAAAAGTCATTTGGAACAGGACTTCCAACACAGAGAGCACGAATGAAGCAGCCAGTCTAAGGATTCACCACCCAGAGATTTGCTGAACTTTACATAAGAGCTGACTGTTACACCTCTGACAAACTCTTGCATTTCAGTGCCTGGGACCTGAAAATACCACTGGGCCTTGAGTACAGGGATGGGATGTTCAGAGCTCTTTGGGCAAATAACCAAGTCCGGAAATTCCCTGCTTTCCCCATCAACAGCAGCTAAAAAAGGGAAACCAAACTGGAAGAGAAAAACACAAATAAGGGGGAACTTCAAGTTTAAAAATAACAGCTATCTTTGACTCTTCAGAAGCGTCAGAATTCAAGAGCCATTCTTCAGCCCAGAATAAATCAGTTTTTTTTTGTTGTTGCCTTTTTTTTTTTAAATTTCAAACAAAACAACATCAGTTTTCTCCTCCTCCTTCTGGAGAGCTGCTTTACAAAACACACAGATGGGCAGAGAGCACGGATATCCTGCTCGACTACTGCGTCCTTTTTTCAGACAGCTGCATTATTAGGAATGACAGGACAGACGTGATTTGCTTGTTCAGCTTTGGGAAAGTTTGGGAAGGAAACAGAACATCTCTGCACTGCGATGAGGAAGGACCTGACAGCTCCTGACAGACAGCAGAAGCACAGCTGCCCTGAATGTCACACTCTCACCTAGTGCAGGAGTGAGCCCTCCTCGTCAGTGTGCCGCAGCGTGAGCTGAAAGCAACGGAGGCAGCCAAGCAATGCAAACCCCACTTCCCAGCTCTAAAGGAACTCAGGATGAACCTCCTCTGCTTCCTCCTCATTCACACTGAACGGGTTTCCCAAGAACAGCAGAGATCAGGCTTTAGCCCTACGCTAAGCCACAGGCATTGGAGTGCTGCAGGGAACTCGCAGCTCTGCACCAGAGCAAAACTCTTTGAACTGAGGGAATTTCAGTGCCCTCATCTATAGAGCTGGGTCTCTCAGTGTAGGTATGCAGACAGGCAGCTCCTGCTTTGCACACCTCTCTAGACAGCAGATTCTGGTTCTACTTTACTGCTTGTTTGCAAACAACTGGTTGGGTTTTTGCTTTGGGATTGGCTGCATGACACAGCACTGGTGCACAGGGCAGGAATGCCACAAGAATCCTGGATGGACACCGTGCTCTGTGTGGGGCTGGGGACAGAAAACTGCCACTGCAAACCCAAATCCCAGGTGCTGGGTGATACCCACCATGTAGTAGCCTGGAAGGAGCTTCTGGAGGAATTCAGCTTCTTTGTGCATCACAGTTTTTATGATGAATTCATCGTCGCTGGTGACATAGAAGAGGGAGCCGCTGGCACCAGGGTTGGAAAGCTCTATCAGGGGCTCGTTACATAATGAGTACTAGGGAGAAAAAGATGATGTTTTCAGCCCAGCTCATTGCACACTGAGCTCCATGACCTTGAGGGCTTTCCCCAGCACGCTGCCTACCCGGGAGATTAAGGGGTAGCAAAGCTCAAAAGAGAATTATTTTCATTATAGGTTAGGTCTAAGCAGCAAAGCTGATGGACAATTTACAATTAGAGAGCAAGATTACAGTTGAGGGCATCCCAACTGCTCAGAATCAAGCTAATCTTCTGCTTTCAGCAACATCCAGGCTTCATAATGACATCTTATCTTCTCTCATTGTGCATGTCCGTGCGCATCGCATCGAGGCTCCTTTCAGCACAGACAGAAAGACAGGATTTTAAGAGACAAGCCAGTCTGCTCTGGGTATCTGTGCTGGAGGGAACACGATGCTCTGCTGCTCTCAGCAGCCTCCCTGGCCTTGTGCTGCCCTGCTGCAGATGTGCTTTACAGCCACATCTCCCCCAGCTCCTGCTGGAAACACGTGAAAAGCCTAAGAGCAGGTGTCCAAACAGAAAGGAAGGGATCAGCACTCAGAACAGGGGGGGGATTCTGCATCGGGAGCACATTGCTAGGCACCAGGCTGCAAACAGCAGGAACAGAAATACAAAGCTCAAGTGCAGACGTGCACTTTGCAGTGAGGCACCAACCCCAGGTGTCTGTGGGGTCAACAGGGTCCCCATAGCACCAGGTGAGGTGAGGAGAGGAAGGCAGGGGACGTAAGGGCCGTAATCAGAGCAACGAATTAAATGCTCGTCATCACGTACTGAAAACAGCTTTCAGCACTGCGCAGATTAATGATCCAAGACTTTATCAAGTTAATTATCTCATGCATAATTAAAGGCATTTGCTGCTGTGGCAGGCAAGAGAGAATCGGGGGAAGCAGAAGCAACAAATCAGAGCCGTGACCTTTGCAGCAGCTCTGTGCCTCACCCGGGTTCTGAGCCACTCATCAAAGCAGGCAGCGTTATCTCGGCTGGCACAGATGGGGAGCGCAGTGACTGTCAAGCCATGCAATGGCACAGACTCGTTTCTGCTTGCATGGTTACAGCTAGGGTTACCCCTGCCTACTGCTGGAGTCAGAAAAAAGCGGCTGTTAGAAAGTGGGGAGGATGGGAGCTCGTTTGGATGGGCTTTTTACCCCCTGAGCAGGGCACTGCAAACATGCATGGCACCTAATTCAACCCCAGCGCACTCCAAGCCTCAGCAGCCTGCATCTCTGGGCAGTTTAAAAGCAGCTCTGAGGAGCTTTCCGAGCCCGGGAACAAGCTGTGCGTTATTCTGTCTTTATAAGATGATTAACATAACTGCATTCACATAGTTCTCAAGTGAGTACACAAGGACAAATTCCCATCTTTGTCCTCGGAGCCCCAGGGGACATTACAGGGTTGCGGCCAACAGAACACAGCCCCTTTTGCTGGTAAACACAGCGAGTTATTGTTAGGGACAGCAACAGAGGAACCCCATAACAGCCCGTGCAGCACACACTTGAAGCAGGTCATTTCCCCTTCCCTCCAGTGTGAGCTCACAGCGAGCTCCCAGCAAACACAAGCTTTGGTTGAGTGGTGCTGGCCTCACTGGGATTATCCCCCAAAAATGAACAGGAGCCCCAAAGCCACAGCCTCTTCCCACTCCTTGCTTTTTGCTTGCCCCTTTTAGGTGAGATCAGCTGACAGCCTCAATTTAGGGGTACGTTTACTGTATTGCTCCAGACCATCTTGAATAAACAAGTCCAAAAATACATCCATACCAAATAATCATCTGGACGAATCCCAAAGAGCTCTCGGAAGTACCGAAAAGCCACTGGTGCATAGGTTTTGAACCTGAAGTCAGCATAATGGTGAGCTGGGGTGAGATTGCTTCCTTCACTGCACGAAACAGACATGAGATGTGTGAGTCCTGGTGTTACCAATCGCAGGAAAGCAGTCTTGTCGAGGCTACTGTATGGTAAGGATAAATTGAGCCTTGCAAAAAGACACAAACAAACAAACTGCCTTTCCTCTGCGGCTGGACAACGGGAAAGTGGGTTTTAAATTATCTGCCACAACCTATTTCCAAAGAAAGCAAGGAACAGCCACTTGCCAAGCAGGACGTGTTTACATGGAGAATACAGCTCTTGTGAGCTCAGTTCATTTACAGAGGTGAAGAGCCCTAGAATGAGCTTCTCCCATCTTAAACAGTATAATTTGGAGGCAGATATCCTACAAATAGGAGGAAAAGCACACAGCAAGGCTAACCCAAGCACACAGCACTGCACCTTGCATTGTACTTCCTTGCAATTCAGTGCAAGAATCTAACACTTCCCACTGCTATGTTTGCACAAAATAGATGCATACTTAAAGCACCCAGAGCATCCATCTCTGTCATCCAAAGACAGATGGAAGCTCTCTTGAAAAAATCAGTGAGAGGAAAAAAAAAAAAAAAAGAACTCATCCGTTCATTTTGTTTCCTTGTCTCCTTTACCTTGGGAAGAAAATGCTCTCCACCACGTAGAAGTCCTGCATCAGGACATCTCTCTCTGGCTTGGAGCTCAGGTTGCCGACTGTGTACCCGATGCCCAGCTGGATGGCGCCCTTCAGGGTGGAGGAAGTGGTCTGGCAGGGAGCAAGGAGCCGTGTGTCAGTAAGCAGAGGCTGTGGCTGTGATACTCCTTGCAGTGCAGCAGGGCCGTGCCTGTGCCTTCCACGGCCATCCTGAGCACTGCATTCTGCTAAACAAAGCTCAACCAGCTGCTGAACGCATCCTTCAGGCCTCCAAAGGTTGGCGCTCTGCAAGACTACACAGCACAAGGGCGCTGCATAAAATCTAAATCAAATTGGCTGCTATTGGTTGCTAAGCCAGGAAAGCTCAGCTGCAGCACTCCTGACCCCTGGCCCTGATTTCTCTGCCCACCACCAACGTGCTCCCCAGATCCAAACCTTTTTGTAGGTGGTTTCTCCAGAAGCATCAACACTCCGATGACCAATCTTCTTTCCTTGGCCAGGCTGCCCCGGTAGCGATGGGCCCTGCAAGGAAAGGGCACGGTGACATCCCAGAATAGCCGGCCTGGCCGACAGGAACAAACAGAACAGCACAGGCTGGACCAAGCCGTAAGGATGGAGGGATCCTGACTGCAAGAAGGTGCACCTGGCACTGGCAAGCTCCACCAAGGCTGTTCGATTTATCCATCCATCCTTCAGGACAGCAGGGCTGAAAATACCCAGTTCCCCCCCCCAACACACTCAGCACCAATGGGGCAGAGCTCGTGGCAAAGCTACCGAGCCAGAAGAGAAGCTCGTGCCCGGGATTCCCTGCATGCTTGGCTCTGGTTTCCCATCGATTACAAACAGCGATGCATTAAATCAAACCACGAGAGGTTTGCTCTTAAAAATCCCATGCCCTCAGGTTTCATGGCAATGCCTCACACTTCGCTGGAGAAACGAAAGGCTGATAAGGTGGATAACAACCCTGCTCCTGCGTTCACGTGGAGATAATCCATTTAAGTGAGATCTCATTTGTTAACAGTTCAAAGGACGAGCTGCAAAAACAGCTCCTCCTGAAGTTTTGCAAAGGAGGGAGCAGATGGCAGCTGCAATCCAGCAGGCTGGCAATGCAACCCACTGGGTTAAGCTGCACGCAGCTCCTCTTGCAGCCCCAGCAGCCAGCTGTGGGGAGCACCGGCAGCACTTGGGGTCTTGGGACACTACGGAATGGCCAGGCCCTGGCTGCTCTTAAAGCAGAAAGATCCAAGGTCACTTCCCAAGTAACAGTGTTACATCACTGTCTCTCAGTGCTGCACAGAGCCGCCTCTCAGAGCTGCAGCAAACAGCGGATAATTTTGTTCAGACAGAAGTTCTTTGTGGTTTAGCTGTTCATCAGGCGCTTGCAGCTACTTCTGGTCCCGCACTTCGGCAACAGAGGGGCAGCCTCATTTCTCCTTCAAAACCTTCCTACCCCTCTTTGAGCATCTTCCTGCAAGCCTGCCTCTCCTCACGGCTCACCACCCCCCTCCCACAATAATTAAGCCACAGGTGTTGGTTCAGCAATTCCCATCGTATGACAATCAGCAACAAATCTCCTGCACAGAACCTGCATTTTCAGGCCAAGAAGAAGCAGGGCTCATTCTGCACTGAGGAAAGTAACTTCTAAAGGAGCTTTCTGCAATGCGCATTTCTGGGGAGGCAAAAGGAACAACATCCCACGTTCCTGGCAGCGTATGGGAAGGTTCTGCTACTCGTGTGTATCAGTGCTCATCATCCCAGGTGAGAAATACAAAAGGGGAATGCTGGAAACTCGGATCAAAGAAAACCCATTGGAACACAGTGCCCTAAAGCACGAGTTTGGGGCACAGCTTCCAGACACAACCCTCACACGGGGCTCCTGCTGCCAGGTGATCCAGGAGGTGACGGTGATTCTGCAGCCTGGGTTATGGGACAGAGATCAACCCCTCGAGCTGCCGCAGGGCTCTGTGCTGCACTGCTGCCTCGTCCCACTGCCAGGAGCAGGTGAGGCCCTGCAGGAGCCCAGCATGCAGCCTCCATTCATTGCACTCTCATTTCTCAGCACGGGGTTTTCAAGACCATCTCACCTCGGTGATGGCTGCTTTCTTCGGTGCCAGACCTGAGGAGAGAAAGGCAGAGCATCACTAAAGACAGGCATGTGAGATTAAAAACACCCAGACACAACAAACTGCTTTGCTCACTCAAGCAAGCTGCAAAGCCCATCAAGCAGTTGTGCTGTTTTCAGTTTCACTTCAGTGCAGGAGCCTCAAGTTCCTGGGTTCGCCCAAGACACAAAAGCACCATTTCTCCCAGCAATTGTTTTTTCTGGAGGTTCCAGCAAAGAGTTCTAAGACCCATGTAAGCAACTGGGCTGTGCAACACCACAGCCAGATGCACCCAGAGGCCCACAGAGACGCTCGTGAAGCTGCTTCTCATCACTCCACAATGCACAAGGATCACTGAACTTATTTACAGAGCACAGCATCCAAATACAACACAAAAATGAACCCATCACTTATCTCCACTGCTGACTTTGGGAGAAGCCACCATTTCTCCATTACAGCCAACAGTGAGACAGTAAGATTTTGCCCACAACCTTCAGATACAGGACCAGAGCTGGGAACAGCAGCCAAAACCACCTCATCCCAGTGGTGTGTTCACAGTCTGCAACTCAGCCTCCCAAACCAAGTGCTTTGCCTGCATATGCAAAGCTGGAGCAGCTTCGTTTTGCTGTTTTGCTTTACATCACGCTGCCTTCACTCGCACAGGTTGAAATCCAGCTAATCCACAACCATAAACCAGACAGGGTGACCACCAATGGAGCACAGCACCGTTTGTCTTGGAGAATCTGGAGCTGAAACTGCAGTTCTTTGGCCCACGACAACTCGCCTTCCTGGTTACCCAGCACAAAGCCCAGCAGTGGGCAGGGCAGGGGGATGCACAGCACTGCAAGGGCTGGGATGCTGCCCCGTGTGGCCACGAGCCCTGCTAATCTCTTTGCTGCGCTTTGTCACGATTCCAGAGCGGGAGATTATCTTTAATTTTGCGATAATTACCACAAGCTGCTTTCATTGCCAGCCTTTAAGTGTCTGCTGCTGTACACGTACCAAGAGTGGGATCCACACCAACCGCTCGTAGGAAGGTCCCAGGGCAAGGACTGGGGATCTCCAGGAGAAACAATGCTTCAGGTGCATGAGGGAATCAGCAGCAAAACCTCTCCAAAGAGGAAAAAAAAATCAGCTTTATGAAATCAACTCCAGGCAGAGCACGAGAAAAAAAAAAACAACCTTCCACTGGCTCAACACGCTGACAGATGGACCTGCACAAACTGCCCCAACCCCAGCGCGGGGGCTGCGCAGCCATGAGAGCTGGCGCTCGGGTCTGTGGGGCAGCAGAGCTGCGCAGGGGGAAGGCTGGGTGCTCAGCAAGCTAATTGAAACGATTCTTATCCGATTTGGTGCAGCTCAGCGCGGGCGGAAGCGTTCGGTGCGGCTCTGGTTGGAGAAGCGTGGGCCGGCCTCAGCCCTCTGCCCGCTGCAGGGCTCTGCCGTGCCCGACCTGCTGCCTTCAGCTCTTCTCACCCACACGCTGCTCTCATTCGGTTCGATGCTGACGCCGCGCCGCTCACCGTTCCCATCTCCGGTTTTGTCTCCGTTGCTTCCATCCGCCTCTCAGCACAGCCCGCCCGGCTCCTGCATTGCAGCTGCAGCCAGCGGGACGCGATCAGCCCCACAGCTGCACGTCTCGGCTCCAGCACGTGCCCCAGCTCGGTTTCTGCATTCAGTTCTGCCTCTCCACCAGATTAGATAACCCGTTTCTGCTCTTACACAACACGCTGCCTCGACAAATTCACGCTCTGAGCTCTCCAGGCCCCTCGCCTCTCATTCGTGTGATGCAGGCAGGGGGCTCACCAAGGAACCCGCACCTTCAGCTTCGTCCTCCTCCTCTGGGCCCTCAAGTCAGCACGCAGTGCAGCGGGGTTGGGGCACCCTCTGGGTGCTGCCAATGGGGACACACCAGCGGTGGCACAAGTTAAGCAGTCCAAGAATCATCGATCTTTTGGGCTGAAAAACAAAACTCTGGGGAAAAAACTTTTCCTTGCTGTCCACAACCTATCCAGAGTTAAAAGCATGGGTTGCAAGCTTGACTTACACAAGGAATTTCTCAGGAAAGACGCCTTCTTTATGAGACATGTGCACACACTTGTAACTCACAGATATTTAATGCTTTACGACACTCCAGAGAAGCAATGGAAGCAAACTGTAGGAGCTGGTAGATCTGTCTGGGCTCCTTTACCCCAACAGAGGTGGTGCTGCATTCGAGTGTTTACCAGGAGATATGCACTGTGACTGCAACTAAAATTCATGGAACACAAACAGACCCCTGGATGGAATTCTGCTGCCTTTCAACGATGATGGAGCCAGCACCTTTTGGACTGGAGAAGGTGGAGGCCGTGAGCACAGCACTGCTGTCTGCTCAGGCTGCCCCACGCCGCCTGCTTTAGGGCACAAGCTGGGAAAGGCAAGGGCTGTGCATGGGGAGCAGATGTGTGGTGGCAGAAATATGGAGAGAAAGGCTGGAAGTGCAACGTGTCCATCCAGAGAGACAGCTGCTGCTCTCTGCGAGGGCCTGCTGAGAAAATGAAATGAAGGCAACACAGCAGCAACTGGGAGAAGATGCCAGGAAACAAACCTTGGCCAGGAGCAGTGCCCAAATTGGCACATGTGGGAAGCAGCCCCCGAACTTCTCACAGCCCAAGAGCAGCATATGGCACCGAGTGGCCTGAAGCAACGGGCTGGGAGGAGCAGGGACAGGAGCAGGGACAGGACGTGCAGCAGCCACCCTGAGAAGGCAGCTCCTTACACCCTGCCCTTCCCAGCCACGATGACCTACTTCTGATCACTGCGTGCACTTTCTCTCCTTTGGACAACAACGTTGGGTTGGGATGGGAGGCATCAAGAAAGTCGCAATACTAAATGGAGCACTGAGGTCTTTTCCCACTTTGATGCAGCATCTCTGGGCAGACGAACGATTTCCAGGACCACCTACAAGACCCTGCGCTGGGTCCACCCCACCTGGCACCCCGATAAAGCTGGCGGTCAGCAATCCCCATAACCCCACACAGCTTCCACTTGGGGAAAGCTGACGGCGCCGGCATCGTGCCCTCTGCCATGCCAACACCACACCCCGCTCTCCCTTCCCACCCCTTTGCCTTGTTCACTTGAGCATAAACTTGTTGGGGACAGAACGTTGTGGTTATACGAGCTAAGGGAAAGCGCTCCACGTGCTGCAAGGCAGGACGGGGCTCTGGGACACCGTGCACAGGGACAGCATGCTCCACACCTCACCAGGCACCAGACCCACAGCCAGCCCTGCACACCATCACCAGCACACGGACCGCCACAAAGAGGTGTTTCTGCACCAAAGGCAGCCATCAGCCTGCTTTCTTGCTCCAAGTTTTAAAGCAGAAATTCACCCTGCCTCGCACTCATCTGTTCAGCCAGGCCAGGGCGCAGGGATGCCAACGCCTTCCTGCCCAGCTCTGCTCCCTGGATGCAGGTGCAGGACAGCATCAGCCCTTTGGGATGCGGGCTGCTGAGGCAGGATGTGCCCTGCTAAAACGTTTCCTTGACAACTAACCAGAAAAACGCTTACAGCAGGGAAGGCCAATTACAGCAGGGAACAAGCAGGACAAGCCGGGGGAAATGAAATTTAAAAAGAACTGATTTGTTTCCTTGTCTCCCATCAGCTGCATGTAGGAAAAGGACAATTTTAGAGCGCCTGTAGCCCGAACCGTGTGACACATCTGACAAAAAAGCCAAACAAAAACCTCATCAAGAGGAGCCCACAATAGCTGACGTCCAATAGCAGAGAAGGCTGCAGCCGCTCGGCTCTGCTGTGGTTATGCAATGCAGGGACGGATGCTCAGCCTCTGTGCTGGATGGGAAAGGTGCAGCCTTATCTGAACGCAGTGTTCTGGCTGCAGGAGGGCGGCAGGGATGAGCAAAACACGCTCCCAGCACATCCCAGAGCGGGGTGAGGGTGAGACGGTCCCAAGGTCAGCAGCTGCAGCCTCCTCCCTGCCCCGGCTTCATTCCTTAGTGCAGCCTTCAAGCCCAAGTCTGCCTAAAATTCAAGCAAAGCTTGATTAGGATTAATTAGAGACAGCGAGCAGCACGGCAGGAAGCACAGCCTTTCTGGGATGGAGGCGGCTCTCTGCATCCATGACACCACAGCAAAACCACGATGCTAATTTAGAGCAAGGCCATTACAGGCTGGAGGACTTTGAAGCTATGGCAAGGGCCAGCTGCCCCCGGCCTTTGCTGAGGGGGGAGGATCAGCTCTGCATCCCTGCACACAACGCAGGGCAGAAGGAGGAGGTGGCTGGAAAAACGAACCTGCCTGGAGCCAGTCCCAAACTTTTGGAGCTGAAAAACAGGCTGGGATGTAGCTATGGAGAGGGCCGGGACCCCACAGAGTCATTAAGTTGGAGCAGACCTGCGTGATGCTCCAGTCCAACCCTGAACCATCCCACCGTGCCTGCTGACACCAAGTGCCACATCTCCAAAGTTGTGGAGCCCTTCCAGTGATGGTGACTCCACCTCTCCCTGGGCAGCCGTGCCGGCACCCCTCCAAAGAAACTGCACCCAACATCCACCCCGAACCCTCCCAGGTCTGAAGGCCACAAATCATCTCAAAGACACACCTGGATTTTTCAGGAGCGAGGTATTTCCTGATTTACTCCAGCCAAAGCTGCTCGCCTAAATCCTCTAAGATTTAATTCCCCTCTTGCTAATGTCTCCTGACAGAGATTTTCCTGGGGGTGCTCACACACCGGGGGCTAAAAGGGGATTTCAGAAATGGGTCACAGAGCTGCGGCAGGGGAGGGTCAGGCTGGGGGATAGGAAGGATTCAGCAGCAGCGGGCGGTGGGCTCCTCGAGCTGCTCACCACCACCTTCCCTTCCCTTGTTGAGGCCATTTGTGCTCTGTGCCCGCAGTGCTTTGCTCTGATGCTCCTGCTCCATGCTAACCGAGGCACCTGAACAGATGGAACAAAACAAGCCACAGCAGAATGAGCTCCAAAGATGACGTGTGCTGCTCACCCCAAATCCCAAAGG